GAGTTTGCAGAGCAACTGTTAAGAGCATGGGTTCTATCTAGATCAGACAACCCAGGGGCCAATCCTGGCTGTGTGGCCATGGGCAATTTACTTAATTTTTCTGTGTTTCAGGCTCATCTGTGAGTGGGGATGACACCCTCCTCATGGGGTCCTCATGAGTTTGACATGCTTGAGCATTCTGAGCAATGTGTGGCACACAGTACTTGCTTGCTATTATTATTATTTTTTAAATGAACATTTTTTTATTGTCTGAAGTTTTAAATATGTCTCCTTTTTCCCCAATTGACTCCCTCCCCCATCCCTTCCCAGCCCGGGCAACCCCCACCACCCCCAGTGTCTGTGGCCATTGGTTATGCTAATATACATGCATATAAGTCCTTTGGTTGCTCTCTAACTTCCTCTCCCCTACCATTTGTCTCTAGATCGATCTATTCTTGTTCATCAAATTATGTTGATCATTATATCCCACATACGAGAGAGATCATGTGATATTTATCTTTCTCCGACTGGCTTATTTCGCTTAGCATAATGCTCTCTAGTTCCATCCATGCTGTTGCAAATGGTAAAAGTTCCTTCTTTTTAATAGCGGCATAGTATTCCATTGTGTAGATTGCTGCAGCGAGAGTGTAGTCTGCCTGCTGGTAACTGGTACTAACTGCCTGCTGGGTGGAGGGGAGAAACTTGAACAGTTACAGTGTAACTTGGGACAAATGGGTGAGCAGGCAATAAACAGGACTGACATTCTTCCCACCCAGACATCAATTCATTTGGGTGAGAGCCATAATAAAAACGGACCATCTATAGTGATCTCTGGGTTGGCCTTAAGCACCCTTTGAAGGATTCTTAAAAAACAGCCTCACTTCATATGAATTAAAAGCTAAATTTATTCAGAGAAAAGAAAGATTTTGCCATGAGAAGGATGTGTTTCATCACATGAATGGTGACAGATAATTTGGGTCAAGTTCAAAATGTACTTTTCAAAAGTAAATATGCAAAGAAAAGCTGAATTGTGAACCATCTGAGTTTTAGACGTTTTATGTTTCATTCTGAATCTGCAGTCAGGTTCAGTGGCTCAAGAATGCTGTTGGAAGAGACATGTCTGGGGCAGACAAAGGACTCATTCTGGGCACAGTTGACTGCTGTCTTTCTTTGTTCAGGGAGAGTTGTTTTCTCAGGGCATTGGGCACCAGCAGGAAGAGAAGTTGTGCATGCATGGCATTTGGGTATGTGCTACTCAGAAGCTCTCCCAGGCTGTGCTGCAGTCTTTAGAGCAGTGGAGAAACGGGGAGCTTTTGCTGAGTCATTGATAACTGTTCTCGGGACTGTTCACTAAACATATACAAGCCAACTCAGATCTCTGCTATGGTTTAGAATCAATTGGAGAGTGAAAACCTGTTATACTGTGGATAAGACTTATCTTTTTTTTAATCTATTGTCTAAAGTTTTACATATGTCTTTTTTTTCCCCAATTGACCCCCCTCCCCAGTCATTCCCACCCTGGGCAAACCCCCACCGCCCCAGTGACTGTGTCCATTGGTTATGCTGATATGCATGCATACAAGTCCTTTGGTTGACCTCCAACCGCCCCCCCCATCCCCTACCATTTGTCTCTAGATCGATCTATTCTTGTTCATCAAATTATGTTGATCATTACATCCCACATATGAGTGAGAACATGTGATATTTATCTTTCTCCAACTGGCTTATTTCGCTTGCTTGCTATTATTGTTAAGGCTGCCTGTACACTGGAACAATTCATGTGAAGTAATTTAAATGAGGAGACACTAGGTCCTGGACACTTCTCACAAGGGTCACCTCAGAAGGTCTGGGAAAGCAGCATCCTCTCCTCCCCTCCTCCCCCTCTCCGGCTGACACCTCCTGGCCCTGGTGGGATGTGTGCGTTTGCCCATCTGTGAAGACCTGGGATGAGTTGTGCTTCACGCTGGTGTGCGACCTCCTCTGGAGGCTCTCTGTGTAAGAGAAATCCCAACCCTCTTCCAGTCTGGAAAGCCTACCAGCCTTTTACTAGTAATAGCTGGAAGAGTGCTTTCCTGTACTTTGGCTTTAGCTGCTTCTTTACAAAGTGGAGCAGCTGGAGATGTGCTACATTTCAGCAGTGGTGGAGACACAGGGTCGCCCCTGTTCATGAAAAGGGCCCACTGGGGGCTGTCCACATACTCCCAAACACTCGGGTAAAAGGTAGCTGTCAGTCGCCACTGTGGAGAACAGTATGGAGTTTCCTCAAAAAACTAAAAATGGAACTGCCATTTGACCAAGTGATCCCACTTCTAGGAATATATACTAAGAAACCTGAAACACCAGTCAGAAAGAATATATGCACCCTGGAAACAGCCTAAGTGCCCATCAGCAGATGAGTGGATCAGAAAACTTTGGTACATTTACACAGTGGAATACTACACTGCTATAAAAAAGAAGGAACCTTTACCATTTGCAACAGCATGGATGTAACTGGAGAGCATTATGCTAAGCGAGATAAGCCAGTCAGAGAAAGATAAATATCACATGATCTCACTCATTTATGGAATATAATGAACAACATAAACTGATAAACAAAAACAGAGACAGAGAATCATCAATCAGAATGTCAAACCTCAGAGGGAAGGTAGGGGAGGGTGGGGGTAAGGGAACTTGTATGCATGCATATAAGCCTAACCAATGGACACAGACAACGGGGGTGAGGGCATGAGTGGGGGGGTAATGAGGGGATAAGGACACATATGTAATACCTTAATCAATAAAGAAATTAAAAGGAAAAAAAAAGGTAGCTGTCACCATCTGGATGTCTCCTCAGCCAAAGGAGGCTGCCTGACTGTCTGGGAACCCCAAGTGCTTGTGATGGTGAGAGCTGGTACAGCCCCTGCAGACTATCTCCAGGCAGGGCCTCTGAGCTGGGAAGAACCTATGAGGCCACAGATTACTTGACTGCTGGGATTTTGGGCTCCTTCTGTCCACAGAGAAAGTTGTTTTAAAAACAGAAGAGCTAGCCCTAGCTGGTTTGGCTCAGTGGATAGAATGGCAGTCTGTGGACTGGAGAGTCCCAGGTTCGATTCCAGTCAAGGGCACATTCCTGGGTTGTGGGCCGACCCCCAATAGGGGGAATGCAGGAGGTAGCGGTCAATTCTCTCTCATTGTTGATGTTTCTATCTCTCTTTCCCTCTCCCTTCCCCTCTGAAATCAATAAAAATATATATTTTTTAAAATTAAAAAAATAAATAACAGAAGAGCTAGATTAATAAATAGCACTGTTCCAGGGTGGGAGCGCGGCCACCAGAAAGCAGGCTTATTTTCAGAATTGAATGTCCTCAGTTTGACAATTTGCAGAGCAAAGTTTAGAACATAATGTGCTGCAGGTAGGAGCCCATTGCCCTGGGCCTGAACTCTGTGACATCAGGATTACTAAACTGCACCCAGCCTGTGTGCCCCCCTGTATGCCTCCTTGTGTGCCATTTACTTTATTGGAATAATTTTTTAAAGCACTGTCAGGGGTTACAATACAAGCAGGAGGTTGAATACTGCCTTTTCCTCTTTAGTTAGATAAAATGTAAAAGTCACCCTTCTCTTTTTGATAAAAGGTTTCTTAAATTCTCTCTATATAAAAGCCTAATATGCTAAGTGTCAACCGATTGGTCGACCACTCAACCAGTTGCTATGACACACACTGACCACCAGGGGGCAGATACTCCAACTGGTAGGTTAGCTTGCTGCTGGGGTCCGGCCGATTGGGACTGGACAAGATGGGCTGGACACACCCTGAAGCCAACCTCCCTTGATCCCTCCCCAGCCTTTAAAATATTTCTTCTAATTTCCTTTCAATGTACACAAATTTGTGCACTGGGCCTCTAGTGTGTTAATAATTGAGGATTTGGGGAAAGAGTGCTTTACCACTTTTGACCAGGTTGGGGCTCGGCTGGGCTCAGCCAGGCTATAGAGCAGAGATTTGCAAATCCTCTGAGATAGGTCTAATTCCTAGGGCTTCAGTCATGCTCTGGACTTTTTTTTTTTTTTTTCTCTGCAAGATCTGAATACAGATCTTCCATAATTAAAGATCTGAATACAAGACCTGTGCATAGCCACCTCTGGTGAGGATTGATTTTGTGTACTTTGGGGAAAATGCCAGGATTTATGTTTAGTCTCTAGCCCTCGCTGAAGGCTTGGGTTTTAGTTCCAAGGAGCACTTTTCCTTCAGCTTAACTGTGCTCATTACTGCGACCCTGTGTGGTTCAGTCTCAGAAGAGCTGTTCCCAGGGGCAGAGGGCACAGGGCCTTTGGAAAGGTGCTCCCAAGCTATTGATTTGCTAGTGTCCCTTTTAGCTTGGCTGCTTGCCAAGAAGACTAATAGGAGGCAACAGAAAAAAGCCTTAGCTCTAAAAAAAGCGTACCAGCTAAAACACTGAAACATTCATTGGCCACTTCCTGTGCTGGGTACTGTTTAAAACACTTTATCAGATGAACTCGTTTAATATTCACAAAGCCCTATGGCAGTGGTTCTCAACCTTCTGGCCCTTTAAATACAGGTCATGTTGTGACCCAACCATAAAATTATTTTCGTTGCTACTTCATAACTGTAATGTTGCTACTGTTATGAATCGTAATGTAAATATCTGATATGCAGGATGGTCTTAGGCGACACCTGTGAAAGGGTCGTTTGACCGCTAAAAGGGTCGCGACCCACAGGTTGAGAACTGCTGCCCTATGGGATAGCTGCTATTGTTCCTATTTTACAGGTGGGAAAATAGACCTTCTCAGAGAGGTGAGTTTGTTGATTCACAACCACCAAGGAACAGAACTAGGGTTGAACCCGGGGAGGCAGAGACCAGTCCACACCCTCCCCCATGCTGCACTGCCTTACCCAGCCTGGCGGTGCGGAAAATGTTTGTGTGTGTACACTGATTCTGTGGCAACTCATCTGTCACAGGACCCGCACATTAGACATTGTTTTAAGATAGGTAACTAGTTAAAAAAATTTAAGTTACACTTACAATTTCTGCACATGTTGAGCAGTAGCTGAGCTGTTGAGATTTCTTGAAAACTGGTCTCAGAGCCCTTTGTTTGAAACATTTGTCACAGGAGCCAAATACATTAACTAGAAAGGTCTGATCACACATCTTTAACGTGAAGCTGAAAGAGAGAGAGAAGGGATGTGTGTGAGAAAAGCCAACAGAAAACGCTGTTTTAAAGCTCAGACCTCTACACTGGGATAAAGTATCTGCAGTTAATCTGTAACCTTTGATTTATTACAACGTGCGGGGTCAACACCAACTCGCTCATCTGATCAGTAAGCATCCGACAATAGGTCTTCTGAACTTAGGTTTAACTGGTTGTTTTGGCAGGTTGCAGACATGGGCACAATTAATTTTTGCAGCACAATATTAATTCTGTGGGGCTCAACATGGAAAGCATTGTTGTAATGAATAGTATAATCTGAATTTAAAAAAAACAAAACAACTCCTCCCTTCAGGGTGAACTTTTGGAGTAAAGAGTCTGAAAATGGCAGAGCCTAATTCCAAACAGTGCATGAGTCGGTGTAAATGCGCGCTGGCTCCCTGCCAGGAACGCAGCATCCCACTTCCTTACTAAACATGTGACAGCGCAGACCCAGGGTCCCGGCCTGTCCACCCAGAAGTCCGCTGGCCCACGCCACTGAAGGGAGGGCAACGTTGAACCAAAACCATCCAGTGGCTAAGGTGCCGGCTCTGGCTGAGTGGACCCTGGCCCCGCTACTTGGGCAAGTTGCTTAATCTCTCTGAATCTTTGCTAATCTATAAAATGAGGATCTTAAATCCACCTCCTAGGGTTGTCAGGGGAATTTAAGCGTGAAGCACTCAGCATACAGTGAGTTGTTATGCTGCCCTGGGAGTTGCTGTAATAGCAGCAGCAGGAAGGAGGGAGAGAGGCTGGAGATGTGGATAGAGCAGAGAGGAGCCCATTGCCCAAGTTCAGGTTGACACATGAAGGCCTGAGCTACACCAATGCTGTGGGACAGATGTGGACCACAATTAGGAAGAAGGAGCTGGACTTGGCAACATGTGGAGACAAGGAGAGGGAGATGTCTACGATGACTCCTAGGTTTCTGTTCGGGAGTCTGAGGGGTTGTGGTGCCATTGTCAGCGATGGAAGACAGGAGGTTAAGGTGGGAGGGGGCAGCCCTTGTCGCCATGCCAATTGAATAGGTGTTCCTAAGACTGGGCCACATCAAGGTTCCAAGAAATGACTCCCTGACTATACAGATATTTTGAGGCACTTGTCTGACCACAGAGCCGAATTTGTGAGGGATGTATTTGAGGGGCAGGTGACAGTGGGGATACCTCAGAGAGGAATGTCTGTAATGCAGAGGTCACCACAGGGCTGCATAGAGAACGGGGAGTTCATGAGTTGGGGTGAACTCCTACAGCAAAGGGGCAGCTGGGACAGTTCTTGGGATCTCTAAGTGACAGAGGAGTGGAGGACAGCCCTAAAGGATGAGAGGTCAGAAGGGAACCAGCTCCTGCCAGCCACAGCGTGCTCAGCCCCGGCCTCTCATAGCCTCCCTGGGAGGGCAGCAGGACATCTGTACTACAGCTGAGGAAATGCCGAGAGTTAAACAAGTTCAAGGTCAGCAGTGCAGCCTGAATCTGTACATAGTGGGACTCCACAACCCTTACCTTCAAGCTAGCACCATGAAGCTGCTCTGCTTCGTCACAACGAGTGAGTGAAAGAACTTGAAAGGTTCTGCCCACTAGAGCCTGGCTTGTGTTGGGGCCCTCGTAATGCTGCCCCCTACTGGCCAAGCTGCCCAGGGGGCAGTCACAAGGTCATGCTGAGGACTCCAAGTAATAGCATTAGGAAGGTGAGCCGTGGATTTTCAGCAAGGGAGCAATGTCAAGTGGATTATTCCAGCATCAGTGCTTCCAGAAGTAGGTCAGCAACAGAATGCACAGCAGGAAAACCAACTAAGTTAAGAGACTGTTATCAATTCTGGGGAAGAGGAAATGAGCTCTGGACAGAAGCAACTGCAGGAATGAAAGGCGAGAGGAACCAGAACCAAGAGGAGAAGGAATAGAAGGAGGCTAGGAGTTATAGTAGATCAAGAAAAACAAAAGTAGAAAAAAATGTCAATATTCCAAATCTGGATAGAGAGAATGTTTTCCTTCCCAAACTGAATTATTTTTTTAATTATAAGAGCTGCCTGTGTTCATTATAAATAACTAGAGGCCCACTGCACAAAATTTGTGCAGTTAGGGTCCCTAGGCCTGGCTGGCAGTCAGGGCTGATCTGTGGGGTGATCGGCAAGGTGATCTAAGTTAAGAGACTGTTATCAATTCTGGGGAAGAGGAAATGAGCTCTGGACAGAAGCAACTGCAGGAATGAAAGGCGAGAGGAACCAGAACCAAGAGGAGAAGGAATAGAAGGAGGCTAGGAGTTATGGAAGATCAAGAAAAACAGAAGTAGAAAAATATGTCAATATTCCAAATCTGGATAGAGACAATGTTTTCCTTCCCAAACTAAATTATTTTTTTAATTATAAGAGCTGCCTGTGTTCATTATAAATAACTAGAGGCCCAGTGCACAAAATGTGTGCACAGTTAGGGTCCCTAGGCCTGACTGGCAATCAGAGCTGATCTGTAGGATGACCGGCAGGGTGATCGGGGGGACCCCCGCTGACACCGGCCTTGGCTGGCCTGGCACCACCTGCTCGCTGACCCCCTCTGCAGGAGGCGACTGGTGGGGTGATTGGGGGATGGTGCTGCCTGCTTGCCAGCCAGCCCCGCCCCCCAATCGCCCCACTGCCACCACTGGTTGCTTCCCTTGGTGGGGCAACCAGCTGGGCAATTGGGGGGCCCCCGTTGTCACCTGCCTTGGCTGGCCTGGCACCACCTGCTCGCTGATACCCCCCCACCCCCACCCCCACCGCCAGTCGCCTCCCTCTGCAGGAGGTGACTGGCGGGGCGATTGGGGGATGGTGCTGCCCGCTTGCTAGTCAGCTCCGCCCCCCAATTGCCCCACTGCCACCACTGGTTGCCTCCCTTGGTGGGGCAACCAGCTGGGCAATTGAGGGGCTCCCGTTGTCACCTGCCTTGGCTGGCCTGGAGCCTGCGAGCTGGGGGTAGCACCTGCATTGAGCGTCTACCCCCTGGTGGTCAGTGCGCATCATAGTGACCGGTTGTTCCACCGGTCATTCCGCCGTTCAGTCAATTTGCATATTAGGCTTTTATTATATAGGATTGGAAACAAAAGAACATGAAGAAGGAAAGTTAACCACTTACATGCTCTAATACTAACTAATAATTGACCTCTGTTAGCATTTTATATTTTTTCTAGTATCTTCATAAACGTGGAAGATACTAGAAAAAACATAAACATATATGTGTATACCTTTAAAACATTAGAATTATATGCCATATACAATTATCAACTTTTTGTTTAATAGTGTTTTTGTCTTCACATGTCATTACATATTCTTGGAAAACACCTTATTTTAATGGAGACCACAAGTTTTGGTCATATCAACCTTAAATCATATAATTAGCATTTTATATCTGGTTAAACTAGGGGAAGCTACAAACCAAATTTGAAAAATTATAGTATTTTAAAACCATAAATGTTATACATGGTTATTGTAGAAAGTTTGGAAAATATTAAAAAAGGTGTAAGAAAGTAAAGAACCACCCCATAGTCCCATTGTCCGAGAGCTCCCTTTTTACATTTGGTGTATGTAAGAACAGATTTTTGGACAATTTGTTCATGTATACTGTTTACAGTTTTATATCCTGATGTATTTTTCATTCAGTATTTATATCATGAGTTAGATTTAATTTTAGTATATTCTACTGTACTATTGTCATAATCATTTTTACGACGAGGGAACTTTTCACAGCTAGAGTAAATGCTTCAATGAGCATTTTGACAAGAAAAAGATAAAAATGCCCCGTTTTAACAAGTTTTGATGGGGAGTTGCTCTGCAGAAAAAGTTCATAGAACTTCTCAAACCTTCCCCCAACCCTATGCCAACCACAAAATTTCTTTAAAATGTTTCACCTAAATGTATGGTTTAAAAATTGCCCCCCCCCCCACACATTTTAAAAAAGAATTAATGCCAAAGATAGAAAGTCAAAAGTGAAGGTCCTCATTGCCTGCCCCGCACTCATTCCCATAGTTTAGATGGGTGCACATTCCTCCAGACTTTTCTGATGCCTTAGATAGAGCCTTGTTAGCTATGCTAAGGGCTGTTCGCTACTTGTTTTCTTCACCTAACTTATTCTGTTAGTACTTTAGACCAGTGGTTCCCAAACTTATTTGGCCTACCGCCCCCTTTCCAGAAAAAATATTACTCAGCCCCTGGCGCTACTTGTTTTCTTCACCTAACTTATTCTGTTAGTACTTTAGACCTATCTGTATTTTTGGTAATAGCTTTAGTATTATTCTCTACTATGGAGTATCATAATTTATTAAACCAATCTATTGTTGGATATATAGAGTATCTCCAGTTTTTACTTTCAAAATAATGCTTCATTGACCAAATTTAAAACTGGGCAAAGGAACCCTCATCCTTTGCTGGTGGGAACGTAAAATGGTGCAGCCGCTGTGGAAAATGGTTTGGTAGCCACTAAAAGTTAAACAGGGCTGTTACCATATGAACCGGCAAATCCACTCCTGGGTAGATGCCCAAGGGAACTGAAAATATATGTTCACATAAAACTTGTCTGTAACAGCATTTAAGTCAAAAAGTGGAAACAACTCAAATGTCTATCAACAGATGAATGGATAAACAAAATGTGGTATATCCAAAAGTAGAATGTTATTTGGCAATAAAAACGAATAAAGTTCTGAAATGTGCTACAACATGGATGAACCCTGAAAACATTATGTTAAGTGAAGTAAGACAGACACAAAAGGCCACAAATTATGTTTCCATTTATATGAAATGTCTGAGACATGCAAATCCACAGAGACAGAAAGTAGATTAGAGGTTGCCGGGCAGGTGAGGTGGGGGTCAGGAATGACTGCTTAGTGCGTATGGGCTTTCTTTTTGGGGTGAAGGGAATGCTCCGAAATTAGACGGTGAGTTCTTTGTTCTGTGCATTATATCTCAGTAAAAATTATTTCTTAAATGGGCAAAGATATGAACAAACACTTCACAAACGCAGATATTCATATGGTCAATAAACATATAAAAAGCGCAACATCATTAGTCATCAAAGAAAAGTGAGAATCACACTGTGCTATCATTACTGAGCCATTAGTGTTCCTGAAATGAAAAATACTAACAATCGGAAGTGGGCAACGGACCTCCTTTCTTGCTGTGGAAAGTATAAATTGGTACCAAAAAAAAAAAAAAGGAAAAAGAAAATAGAAGAATGCCATAGCAGTTTTATTCATAATAGCTCCAAACTGGAAAAATGCAAGTGTTCATCATTAGTAGACTAAATAATTTATGACATATGCAATAAAAGAGAATAAACTATGGAACACGTGACCATCTGGATGTATCTCAGACTTACTGTGACTAATGTTTAGTGTCAAAAACCTCTTTCAATTCCATAAGTTGCACTCTGAGGCTTATGTTGACATGTAGAGTATTAACCTGGATCCATTTTTAAAACTGATTAAATGATTTTAAAGATGACTAACTTTTTCCCTGATGCCGATACTAAATATATTTTAAAAACAAAACAGTATTTCAAAAGAAATGCACATGAATTGTAGAAAAATGAGAACATACAGATTAACAAACACCGCCAGCCCTTGCCTGTGCTCTCGCTGCACAGAAAGACCACGGTGAGCACCTGGCTGTGTACATACCTGAACACTCTTCTGAGCTCTTACGGAAGTCCGAGTATTCTAACTTAATATCAATACATATACACCTTCCACAGAGTTAGCGCTAGGAATTGATCAGCAGAAAGGCGAGAAGTTAGAACCGCCAGCTCCGAGGTGCAAAGGGGCTGTAACACATCTAATCCCCTTATCTGGGCATTACACTCAGCTGCTCCATCCGCCCCCTGCCAGCCCTGGGTGCACTGCTGGGCACTCACTGCATTTGCATCAGGTACTCCTCCTTGAACCTTTTCCCACCCCTGCTGCCAGGTGTCCCTGGAACCCCCTGCTGACCAATTTCTTGAGCTTAGTTCTCCGTCTGCCCTCTGAGGAGGCAGAGTTCACAGGTTTGATCCACAACCTGCTCCACCGGGCAACCTTGACATTCACTTGTGACTGGATGTCATCAGGACCTCCTGCCTCCTCAGTCCTCATCCCACCAGCACCTCATTAATTTTGGCCACCGCTCCCACCTTCAGCCTGAAGAACTGATCAAGCTTATGGGATGAGGACCCCCATCCCCCCCTTTCCCATGCATGCACGCCTCAGCCTCTGCAGGTCCCCAAACAAGATCTACTCCTTCCCAAGGCTGACCACCACCACCACCCACCCCCGATCCTGCCACCTTCAGCAGACTTGGCTCCTGCAGTCCCTCCCACCTCCCCAGCGTCAAGATGCACAAAGGGATGAGGGAGAGTGGACCTGCTCTCCAGGGTCCACAGGCCAGGCCAGCAGAGGATTGGGCAGCGTTACGGGCTTCCAGCCGAGGGTAAGTGCTGTAGAAACAGCCACAAACCTGAGTTATGGGAGCAGGAAAAGGAAGGGGGATGGGCTCCGCATGGCATAGGGAAGGTCTGTAAGGGGCACGGAGAAGGCAGGTGCGGATCAGAAACCCAGCAGTCTGGGAGCCCCTGGAGGTGCGGCCCGAGGCAGGACTTGGGCATATTACAGAGTTCACAGGTTTGATCCACAACCTGCTCCACCGGGCAACCTTGACATTCACTTGTGACTGGATGTCATCAGGACCTCCTGCCTCCTCAGTCCTCATCCCACCAGCACCTCATTAATTTTGGCCACCGCTCCCACCTTCAGCCTGAAGAACTGATCAAGCTTATGGGATGAGGACCCCCATCCCCCCCTTTCCCATGCATGCACGCCTCAGCCTCTGCAGGTCCCCAAACAAGATCTACTCCTTCCCAAGGCTGACCACCACCACCACCCACCCCCGATCCTGCCACCTTCAGCAGACTTGGCTCCTGCAGTCCCTCCCACCTCCCCAGCGTCAAGATGCACAAAGGGATGAGGGAGAGTGGACCTGCTCTCCAGGGTCCACAGGCCAGGCCAGCAGAGGATTGGGCAGCGTTACGGGCTTCCAGCCGAGGGTAAGTGCTGTAGAAACAGCCACAAACCTGAGTTATGGGAGCAGGAAAAGGAAGGGGGATGGGCTCCGCATGGCATAGGGAAGGTCTGTAAGGGGCACGGAGAAGGCAGGTGCAGGTGCGGATCAGAAACCCAGCAGTCTGGGAGCCCCCGGAGGTGCGGCCCGAGGCAGGACTTAGGGCATATTACCTTCCTCTCTAGGAATTCTTACATACGTTTTATGAGATAGTATGAGATGATGTTGGGGAGCACACGAGACTTGGTTGGAAAGTTGTAAGGAGGACATTCTGAGAAAAGGGACATGTGTGGAAGGCCGCCTGCCCTGTTTATCAGAATTCCGACTTAGGGGAGTGTGGAAGGTGGCACCCCTAATTATTCCTTGACCTTTCTAAACAAGTCTGTGCATGTGCAGACCCCCGGTGTTTACTGGAATCCTTATGCTTAATCCCTGGATGCCCTTGCCTAGAGGACAATGTAAACACATGTGTCCTCCCTAGATTACTCACCTTACTGATTGTATCTAAAGATAAAAATTCCAAGAAAAGCCTAACGAGGCAGCCTGGCTCCTTCAGCGGCCCATCCCTTGGCCCTCTTTCCCCAGTGAAACTGTGTCAGAGTAACCTGTTCATCCTTCGTTCAGGGGCTGCTGGTCAGCCCTGGCAAGATAAGACCCTTAAAGAAAGGCACTAAAACTTGTGTACTTAAGAAGAATATAATCTCTTAGCAATTAAAAGAACCTGACCCAATACATATGGGAATTTATTTCATTGATTAAAATATTACAAAGTTCTACTTTTCATTTCTTCATATACAATGTATCCCAATGAACTACATTTAATTACTTATCATAAGAAACAACATTATTCCATGTTAGTAGGGTGATGCTTCAGAATCATGTATGATTTCCACTTTTAAGATACATGTCTGTGTTACAGAATCATTCCTCTTGCCTGTGACTGTCAGAAACAGAAGGGCCGGTTGGGATTCTTGGGGTGTTGCAAAGGGCACTGGGTCCACAGGCCACAGGCTAGGAGGGCTTATCAAATGACATATTATGATCTGAAAGGAAGGAATGAGGACATCTCGGGGGACAAGGAATAGTCAGCTCCCATAAAACTTGGGAAACACAGACTTCTCAAAAAGCGGGACCTAATAAAATTCTTCAGTTATTTTTATGAGAAAGTTTAAAACATATTTCAATGCTGATAAGATAGAGAAAATAATTTAGGTTACCTTTTTTTAATTGTATATTTTTTTGATTTTTTTACAGAGAGGAAGGGAGCAGGATAGAGAGTTAGAAACATCGATGAGAGAGAAACATCGATCAACTGCCTCCTGCACACCCACCACTGGGGATGTGCCCACAACCAAGGTACATGCCCTTGACCGGAATCGAACCTGGGATCCTTCAGTCCGCAGGCCGACACTCTATCCACTGAGCCAAACTGGTTAGGGCTAGGTTACCTTTTTAAACTTAGTTTTTAAAAGTTATTGTATGAGCCTGCCTGGTGGCTCAGTGGTTAAGCATCAACCTATGAACAGGAGGTCACAGTTTGATTCCTGGTTAGGGCACATGCCCAGTTTATGGGCTCGATCCCCAGTGTGGGGTGTGCAGGAGGTAGCTGATTCATGATTCTCTGTCATCACTGATGTTCCTATCTCTCTCTCCCTCTTCCTTCCTCTCTGAAATCAATAAAAAATATATTTAAAAATATATTCACACAAAAATATACATGAAAGATACTAAACAATAAAAAATGATGGCAAATGTGTTGGCAGATGAAATTTAAGAAATGTTCTTTGGGAGGAGGAGATGAAAACTGGTGTGGCAATTAAGCTTTAATAATATGCTGGTTTTAATTAGATAAATACATAAAATACTTCATATAATTCATTCAGATGGAATATTCTCTTAAAAATTAGAAGGGTCTGAAATAATAAATACTTTTTTATGCAGGAGAATTTTTAGAAAGAGTCAGTGGAACCCCACCTCCCACTCCCCGCCTCCCCCAAAAACAGGCATGAGGTGAGGGGACTTTTGGAAGACTCAGCCCTGGACCCCACTGTGGCTTCATAAATGGACCCAGGCTTCACAGGAACGTGTCCCCGATCTTATGCTCCTGTGGGTGGAGCCCTGTCACAAGATTGATTGAGACCAAGAGACACCTGGGAGAAAATGGGAGCTTCCAGGAATTCTAGTAAAAGCCAGCTGGGCTTGCAGAGCTAGACAAGGCCACAGCTGGAGTGTGTTAATTTTTGTAAAATGACAGTGGCAACAGCATCACTGTGAGCGAGAGGAGATGTGGACCTTTTGGGAGTTCTCATTTTCTCCCTTAAATCACATTCTAGAGCATTTCCAGTCCCAGTAATACGCCACATCCCTCATGTTTGGCCTTCGTTTAGCTTTTGAGGGAAAAGTGTGTTTGCTCTCTTTCCCCGCTACAATCTATTGAGAAAGCCTAGCTTGAAACTGCTGGGGATCTCGATCATTTCCAGAGCGTGGGGAGAGGGCGTAAAAGGAAAGACGACTTGGAAGAGATAGCTGGCATCCAACATCAGCTGCGAGGAGTCCTCCCGGCTGTTCAGGAGAGCCTGAAAGGAGAACGGGAGGGAAGTGAGTAAGGAAACGTGTGCACTCTGCTTCATTGCTATCTGAAAGCCAGGAGTAAGCAAAACACAGCTCCATCTCTAGGGAGACACTCCTTCCAAAAGCACATGAGATGACACACAAAAGAGCCTTTTAACAGCACGACTCCCAGGTGAAATGGTCTGGCAGGACTTCCAGATCAGCTCTCGTGAATGCGTCCTTGTCTGTTTCACTCCAGAAGTTAACTTCCCACTAAATGGATCTGTTCTCTCTTCTTCGCTATTCTCATGGCAGAATTCCAAGCTCAAACATCAATAGATCTCAAGTATTAAATTTTTATCGCACTCAGTACTTTCTTTTTATTCAAGGGTTTGCAAAATTTTTGGTCTCAGGACCTCTTTTATACTCTGAAAAATTATTGAGGATTCCAAGAGCCTTCATGTATATGGGTCTAACTACTGATATTTACCATATTAGTAATTAAAGCAATAACTTAAAATGTGTTCATTCACTAAAATAACAAGAGCAAAATAAATAAATAAATAAATAAATAAATAAATAAATAAATAATTTAAAAATAATAAAAAATAACAAGAGCAAACCCAACACATGTTCATATATTCTTATTGAAAAAGAACTATATTTTTAAAACAAAAAAGATTAGTGAGAAGTGGTATTATCTTATGTTTTTGTAAATCTCTTAAATGTCTGACTTAATAGGTCGAATGAATCTCAGATCTGCTTCTGCATTCAACCTATCGTGATTCATTTTTTTGGTTGAAGTATAAGAAAAAAAGTTGGCCTCGTACAGATATGGAATTGGAAAAAGGGAGACTTTGCAGACCTCCCAGAAGGGTCTCGAGGATCCCCAGGAATCCTTGAACCAAACTCTGAGAACTGCTGCCCTAGTTCATTGGGGAAGAAACCTTTGGGATTAAAACAAGGAAGACGGGTACACAGGTCCCTGCTTCCATTCAGCCTCTGCTCACCTGCGTGGCACTCAAAGGCTGGTAAGAAACAGGACCTGCTGAAGGAACTAAGAATGTCAGTCACCTCTGGTGTTTTCGTTCCCTTCCCTGAGGTAACATGGGCTCTGAAAACCGGGAATCTGACAGGGAAAATTCCTGCTGCTTTGTCTGCTTATTTGGTGAATGTGCTTTTTTTTTTTAAAATATATTTTATTGATTTTTTACAGAGAGGAAGGGACAAGGATAGAGAGTTCGAAACATCGATGAGAGAGAAACATCGATCAGCTGCCTCCTGCACATCTCCTACTGGGATGTGCCCGCAACCCAGGTACATGCCCCTGACCGGAATCGAACCTGGGACCCTTCAGTCCGCAGGCCGACGCTCTATCCACTGAGCCAAACCGGTTTCGGCGGTGAATGTGCTTTAATCCTGGATTTCTGTAATGTAAATCCTATATAATAAAAGCCTAATATGCTAAGTGTCCGGTCATCCGGTTGTCCATTCAACCAATCAAAGCGTAATATGCTAATGATATGCTAAAGTCGCTCAACTGCTCGCTATGACATGCACTGACTACCAGGGGGCAGACAGTTGACCAATCGACCAGTTGCTATGACATGCACTGACCACCAAGGGGCAGATGCTCCGACTGGTAGGTTAGCTTGCTGCTGGGGTCTGGCTGATCGGGACTGAGCAAGCCGGGCCAGACATGCCCTGGAGCCCTCCTGCGGTCCCTCCCCAGCTGGCCAACCTCCCGCATCCCTCCCCGTCCCCAACTGTGCACCGGTGGGGTCCCTTGACCTGGCCTGCACCCTCTCACAATCCGGGACCCCTCGGGGGATGTCAGAGAGCTGGTTTCAGCCCGATCCCGCAGGCCAGGCCAAGGGACCCCACTGGTTCACGAATTTGTGCACCGGGCCTCTAGATAAATATAAATGTCTTCTACTAAAAATTAAAAGTCACATTCTTAAGGATCTCACCTGTACTTTGCGAACGAAGGATGGAGTCACTCTTTTCTCGAAGTCATCTATAGGCGTGTATAAATTAAGGATCTTTATGATCTGCAAACCACACAGAAGACATGTTAGAGTTAGACCATGAAAAAAGACAGCTCTGCCTGTGATATAATGGTTCTGGTGGTTTTGGGATAGCTAGGAACCACAGGTAGCTCCTTTATACTATAATTGGCTCTAGGAACCAGGTGTTATTTCTTTCCAAGGAAAGAAAACAAAGTGAGAAGTGCATGGAAGGGAGCAAAGACAAATCACACAATTAGATGACAGACAACTCTCCTCTTCCAGCCTCCCGCCTCCATCCACATCTGTAAGTTTAGTGCGTAGGCAATATGTCATATGCACTTTTGTTGTTTTAAGGCCTGGTCTTAGTATTTAATAAATGTTTATGAGATAAGAAGGTGGGCTATGGGAGATTCTATGCTACCAAAAAGCACACAGAGACTCAGGTGCACCCCATGGTTGGCTAGGCCAGGAGAGCTGACACCAATGATAGGGTCTGCCAGTGAAGATCAGGGAGACACTCAGCAAGCCTGGTTACCTGCACAGCAGACAGTGAGGTACAGCGTTCGAAGATCTCCTTGGCATCGCTATCTGTGATCTTCTTGACCTGAAGCAACCAGGCTGCCTGAGAGAGAGGTTCCAAAGTTTCCTTGGCCAAGCTGTTCTGCAAATTCTTATCTTTAAGCCATTCTTCTAAGTAGCTGATGTTGCACCTGGAGTAAAAGCCAAAGGAGCACAGAATGGTAGACAATCTATATAGGACATGTTAGGGGAGGGTGCAAAATCCCCTAGTGCAGGGGTGGGCAACCCCTGGCACGCGTGCCGAACATGGCACGCCAATAACTTTTGCTGGCACGCGAAACCCTCTCTTATAATCTTCCATTTACAATTTTTTTCTTAATATCGACTTTTTTATTTTTCAGATAAAGTCAGTGTAGGTGCATCTTAAATAAATAATTTTACATAACATATATACATTAAAAAATAAATGTATTTTTCATCATCATATGTGTTTTTGTCGCTCGAATGAATTTTATTATTTCTTCAAGGTTCTTCACATACGTACACCTTAAGAGATATCAAGTAGGCGTAACATGTTCTCAAAAAATTAGGGTTGGCACGCAGAAGAATTCTGAGTCAGAGATTTTGCTGGTTTTGGCACGCACTCACAAGAAGGTTGCCCACCCCTGCCCTAGTGTGTCCTGAGAGGGTACCAGAGTACACTGAGGGGACCAGGACTACAGTCCAGCAGTTTCTTCATTTATAATATGAGGGTGTAGGACCATGATTCCTGGTTCTAAGGATCATAATAGTATAGGGTGAGGGACTATAACAGCTATAAACTTTGGGGGAAAATCTGAGCAAAGTATAGTGACTACAATAATTTATAAAGTAATCTATTAAAATAGTCAATAATAGACTTGCAAATCATTAAAGGGGGAAAATAGTGGCATTTGTAGAGAAGATTTACATTGGTATAAAAACTATTTAATTTCTTTTCCTAAATTGGCAGAACATTTTCAATTGGCAGAAGGCTTTTCTTTCAGTCCACTGAGGTTTTTAATTCTCCTTTCTGTCACTAATTATCATAGGTTAAGAAGCATGGGTTTTTTCTCACCAGTCCACTGTGTGAGCTTGGAAAGTTACTCAACTCTCCGGGTAAATGAATGTTGAGAACACTCATACATCGCTAGTGGGACTGCTAAGGAAAATAGTGTGGCAGTTCCTCAAAATGTTTAACATAAAAGAACCATATGACCCAGCAATTCAACTTCTAGATATGCACTCAAGAAGACTGAAAACGTCCACACACAAAAATTGTCCATAAGTGTTCATAGTATTTAATTAAAAAAAATTTTTTTATTGATTTAAGAGAGGAAGGGAGAGGGAGAGAGAGAGATAGAAACATCAATGATGACAGAGAATCATTGATTGGCTATCTCCTGCACGCCCCCTACTAGGAATGGAGTCTGTAACCCGGGCATGTGCCTTGACCTAGAATGGAACCATGACCTCCTGGTTCATAGGTCAATGCTCAACCACTGAGCCACACTAGCCAGGCCCATAGCTTTTAATTAGCCAAAAATGAAAACAACACAAATGCCTACCAACTAATGAATAAACAAACTGTGCTATATCCATAAATGGTATGTTATTCAGCAATGAAGAGGAATGAGAAACTAGTACATGCCACCATATGGATGAACTGTGAAAACATTATGCTAAGTGAAAAAAGCCAGTCACAAAAGACAATATATTTTATGATTCCATTTATAAATACGTCCAAAATAGGCAAATCTATAGAGAAAGAAAATATATTCATGGTTGTGTAGGCTGAAGGAGAGGCAACTAGAGAGGTGGGGTGTGGGTAGTGATAAGAGTGGCTGCTAATGAGTATAAGGTTTCTTTCTGGAGTGATGAAAATGTTCTAAAATTACATTATGGTGACGGTTATGCAACTCTGTAAATATACCAAAAACGATTGAACTATACACTTTTAATGGGTGAACCTCATGGCAGATAAATTACATATCAATGAAGCTGTTTCAAGAAATGAAGTGTTGAACTAGGTGATCAGGGGAAGGGGATTCTTCTCTTTGGTTATAACACTGAGGTGCTAATGCTGAATTAGTGTATTCCACAGGAATGCAATGAGTGAAGTAACACCTCTTGTACTGGTTCATCCCCTCATTTTTTTCATTGTCTATTTTGTTCTGCTAGTTTGAGTTCTTATTACAATAGATACCTAATGAGCCTCCCATTTCACTCCTTCTTACCCATCTTAATCCTGCCACAGCACTTTCTAAATCTGAATTTTGAGTATATTAATCCTCCTGCTCAAAAGTCTGTGGTGGAGTTCTGGCTCCTGCTACGGTGGAGAAAGCACCCCCCCGCCCCCCACTATGCCTCTCCCACCAAACGCAGCTGTAAAGCCTGGATGGAATTCCTGGAGCAGCTGTCTAGGGACTCTGAAAAGTGAATAGTAGCAGGTGGATCGGGGAAGAAAACCAGACTTTGAAGTATCTCCACTTGATAGTGAATTTGCCAGTTTTTTCCTCTTGCTATTTGTTGGCCTGAACTCAAAGCAGCCTGAAACTTAGTAGTGAGCATTGAAGTCAACAATGAGCTCCAGGAGGAGTAATCTAGTTCTGGCTCCAGGAGCTGAAGAGGGGTGTCCTAATGCTCAGAGAGAGGGTGGAAATCTGGTTTTCTTTCTTTCTCCATTCTCTCATAGTCAAGCCCCAAACAATCAGCTGGTGATGGCAATGGTGGCAAAGGGTCCAATAGAAACCTAAAACTCTGAGAGGAGGGAAGTTCCTGCAACTGGAGGAGCTGTGGTCCAAGAACTCCCACTGCTCTATCCTCCAACCACCAGGCCCCAGATGGGGACATTTCTGGGAATTGTGCCACACAGCGAGTTAAGTAAAGTCTCCGGCCCTCGCTGGTTTTGCTCAGTGGATAGAGCATTGGCTTGCACACTGAAGGGTCCCAGGTTTGATTCAAGCCAAGGGTACATGCCTCGGTTGCAGGCTCAATCCCTGGCCCTGGTCAGGGTGCATGCGGGAGGCAACCAATTGATGTGTCTCTCTTACATCGATGTTTCTCTCTGTGTCTCTCTCTCTCCCTTCCTCTAAAAATCAATGGAAAAATATCCTCAGTGAGGATAAATAAATAAATAAATAAATAAAGTAAAGCCCCCATTTTCAGTTGGGGTGGGGGGCGGCGGCGGCAAACAGGGGATCTGCAGGGAGCTGGAAATACCAGGGGGTTATGGAGAGGAAGAAGCTTGGGAAAATGACCCCTTAAAGTTGTTTATGAACTCCTGGGCGCACCCCCGAGCCCACACATGGATCTGACCCTCAGTAGCACATACAGATGTGAGGACTAAACTATGGGACAGAGGAAGAGCCAAGTTTCAGTCTGGCCACTGTGTGTTATACATGAGACAGAACCAAATAGCATTACAAAGACTTTGAAAAATGAGCTGACATGGGAACCACAGCCCCCAGGGGATACTCAGAACTTGCAGCTTGAACCCAAATGGTCTAACTATCTGATAAAAATATCCACATTCTCCAAAGGACTTAAAGACCCAGAGTCTCATAGTATAATATTAGAAGTGTCCAGGAAACAATTCAGAATTACCAGATGGTCCCTGACTTATGATGGTTTGACTTACAATTTTTCAATTTTACGATGATGTGAAGTGATATAATAAATTATATGATATAGTCAAAGTAGTATAAAATAGGCTCTGTGTTAGATGATTTTGCCCAAATTTAGGCTCATGTAAGTGTTCTGAGCACGTTTAAGGTAGTAGGGTAAACTATGATATTCTGTAGGTACTGGTAAGTGTATTAAATGCATTTCCAGCTTACAACATTTTCAATTTGTAATGGGTTTATCAGGATGTAACCCCCATAAGTTGAGAAGTATCTGTTCTTGGCATATAAAGAGCCAGGAAAAGCTCAACTCACATCTAAACAAGATAATCAACAGATGCCAACTCTGAGACGACACAGATGTTGGAATTACCCGACAAAGACTTTAAAGAAGCTAAAATAAAAATGCTCCAAAAAGTAAAGACAAACTATCCTGAAATAAATGAAAAGATAGAAAGTCTCAGAAAAGAAATAGAAGATATTTAAAAAATGAAAATTTTAGACATGAAAAATACAATAACAAATAAAAGAACTCACTGAATAGGATCAATAGCAGAATAGAGATGGCAGAGGAAACAGCCAGTGAACTTTAAGGCATCAATAGAGATTATCCAAACTGAAGAGCACAGAGAAAGAAAAAAAAACCTGAAAGAAATGAACCAAACTTTAGGGACTCAGAGGACAATAATGAAAGATCTAACATTTATGTCACCAAAGTTCCAGAAGGAAAGAAGAAATTATGGTGCAAAGTATCTGAAGAAATACTGGCTGGAAATGTCCCAAATTTGGTGAAATGTACAAACCTACAGATTCAAGAAGCTCAGGGAACCCCCAAAGAGGGTAAACCTAAAGAAAATCACACCCAGACACATCACAATCAAACTGTGGAAAACTAAAGACAAAGAAAAAAATTAAATGCAACCAGAGAAACACTATGCATTACTTGTATGGAAACAATAATTCAAATGATTGTGCATTTCTAATCAGAAATCATGAAAGCCAGAATAAAGTAAAACATTTTTAAAGTGATGGGAAAAAAGTACTGTCAACCCAGAATGCTAAAGCCTGCAAAAAATATATTTCAGGAATGAAGGTGAAATGAAGACATTTTCAGGTAAAAGAAAACTAAGAGAATTAATTGCCAGTGAACTTGCTCTAAAAGCCCTACTAAAAGAATTTCCTCGGGCAGAAGGAAAATGATATCCAAATGAGATGTAGGGGGAATAAACTGTTTTGTGTTTTGTGTACTCACAACTATAAATAAACCTACTTTTCCCCACCCTGTATAGAAGTGAAAAACACCATCAGCAATTGCCATTTATAGAACATCCCACTCAACAACCACAGAATATATATTCTTTTCAACTGCACATGGAATGTTCAGAAAATCAAACCATAGCCTGGCTTGTATGGCTCAGTGGTTGAGCGTCGACCGACTTATGAACCAGGTCATGGTTTGATTCCCAGTCAGGGCACATGCCCGGGTTGCAGGCTTGATCCCCGTAGGGGGCGTGCATCATTGATGTTTCTCTCTCTCCCTCTCCCTTTCTGTCTCTGAAATATATATATATATATTTTTTTAAAGATAAAGACAAGATGACGGCCAAGTGCTTACACTGCAGCTGCCATCCTAGGGTCCATGATTCTCTCCTCCAGGCATGCTGTCTGCATCTTACCCTTCCACCCAGACCCCACATCTAAGTCTCCTGTAGCAGTCTGTAAATTCATTCCTCTGCCCATTCATTCATCCATTCAATAAACACTTGCTAAACATCTATCATGCCTATGTCTGCCACAGAGCCTGTCCTTGCTTTCCTCTGTCCTGCACCAGGCAGTACTTCTCACAGAGGTGGTGGTCAGTAAACCCTGGGTGCGTGTATGATAACCACAGAAGGCAGGCTTTTAAAATATAGGGTTACTAGTTCCCAGTGAAAGCCACTCTGCCACAGCTCAAATTAGCACAGTGTGGAGTGATGGGAGGCGGTCTGGGCAGTGGATGGCAGACACTCTAAGCTTCTAAGAGTCACCTTGCCCCGCGCCCCCTACCCCTGGCATTACAGCCCTTGGGGAAGGAGGACCGGAGTGTGTGTCAGACTTGATGAGCATTACTCCCCGCCAGCCTCCTGGAGGAAGTGGTGGTGTCTGGGTTTTACCTGATCTGCATCCCTTTCCGGCAGGAGCACATGTCCTTGCGCAGGAAGAGGCTGTTGAGCGTGACGGCCCCGATGAGGAAGAAGAGCTGCTTCACTGCCTGCCTCACGAGCTCGGGGTCCAGGCCGTTCTGGCACATGGTGCTGTAGAAGTAGCTCAGCTGCTGCAGGACGGAGGTCATCGTGTAGGCGTCCGTGTCGTCGATGCTGGACGACCGCTTGCGGAAGCCCGTGGGCTTCAGGCCGGAAATGCCCTGCAGACTCTCGTACTCCAGCATGCCCGGCACTGCAGGGGGACACCCAGAGGACTTTCTCACTGCTCTATGTGCCTGTTTCAGGAGGTGCAACATTTTCTACAAGAGTTAGTAGTGGGTGTAGTTGTGACAAAGCGATGGAATCAAGGCCTGGGGAGCACAGGCTGCAGGGTGGATGGGACAGACGCTGTTTTCAACAGGGCAGCAGCCCCTGGTTAGGCTTGCAGACCTCTTCTTTCAGAATCGCAGGAATGGAAGCAGGTTAGCATGGTAGCTCATGGTCTGCGACCATTTAAAGTATTTACATTTCAGAAAACTGAAGGAAGTAGGACTTTAGGATTTCAGAAACACCTGTCTAAGACCCAGGATTAGCCATATAAATAGCTGCAGCTCTTCCACGGTTTTCCCCTCAGGATGAATTGCTCTTACAGGAAAAAACTATGAACCATGTACTTTTATATATGGAATTGCTTCAAGCAAACAAAGAATTAAACTAAGTTTTCTTGGTTTTAGAAATTACATTCTTTATAGCCACACATTGTAACCATACACCTGATTTATTTTTTAAGGCCTCAATGTTACTATAAATATTTTTGGTTATCAATTCTTTTCTTACCTATTATTGGTTGAATGTTATTTTCCATGACGATAATGAACTGATGATATATTCGTATAGCCACATCACTAAGAATCTGTCTGTATTCTGACAGGTCAAAATTGTTCAAGCAGTTCTTGTTCTGATGTGGACTGTTATGCTTCATGAATTCCTGAAAGTAATTTGGGGCATATAAATATTAAAATAATATAGACACATAGGAAATGAAAATACTATCTCTATTAATGATGTTATAATCCGCTTCTACTATACTCCCACACTTTACAATTTAATGTCTGATTTGTATCAAAAAGGTTCTTGATGTTGAGTAGCACTTATGTTCTATAATTAACTAAGTGTCACTGTACTGCCTGCTCGTCCTACAAATACGTGCCCCCAGGCCTGTAAGCCACAGCAGAAAACCACTCCCATGGAAGCTCGCAGAAAAAAACTGCAAAGCACCCAAGGATACAAACTGCTATAAGAGGACAGTAGATAAATGAGATTCATGACTTTATAATTGCAGATTATAGACTACTCTGAGATATTATAAAATATGTGCTATGGACTAACTGTTCATGCCTCCCCATGGTCCCCAATTCATAAGTTAAAGCCCTTACCTCCTATGTGGTTATATTTAGAGATGGGGTCTCTAAGGAAGTGATTAAGGTCAAATGAGGTCATAAGGTAGGGCCCTCATCTGTTAGGATTAGTGTTATAATAAGAGACACTAAAGAGCTCAATCTCTTTCGCCCCCATGCAGAGGAAAGGCCATGTGAGGACACAGCAAGAAGGCAGCTGTCTGTAAGCCAGAGAGAGAGGTCTCACCAGATACCAGCCCTGCTGGCACCTTGGTCTGGACTTAAGTCTCCTGAACTGTGAGAAAATGACTTTCTTTGTTTAAGTCATCTGGTCTATGGTATTTTGTATATAGCAGCCCAGGCAGATGAATACAATATATTTAATATGTCCCAAGAGATAAAAGGAAAACATTAAGACAAGAATAGGACACTATGATAAAAGGCACAGGTGAAAAAGAACCATTAAAATTTTAGAAATAAAAATAGAGTAATTGAAAAAATAGACAGGGGAAAGAACATTGTGTACATGGCTGAAGGGGGCAAAAATAGGACTAAAAAGTAAATGCTGTTGTATAATATAATATCCTCTTCCATTAATGCCTCATAGATGCAAGTTTTTCTTAAATGGACGACCTGTGTCTCCCCTCTCCTTCCCACCTCCCCTCCCCTACACACTTTGGCATTCCTTTTAGTCAGAGCTTGGATCTTCTTTACTTATTTCTCCTTTTGTTCTATAGTTCCAGTAGGAATACTTTTATATTTTGTTTTACTTTCTCTTCATTGGGACAATTGGCTATCCATGTGGAAGAAGATATGAGTTCATGACCTCACAAGTCAACGTAGAATAGCGAATCGCACCAATTTTGGATAGGTAAAAGCATAATTGTAAATTCTAAATTTTAATTGTAAGAGTTTAGAAGAAAGTAAGAGAATATCTTCATGATCTCATGGTAGGGGAGAATTTCTTGAAACATATAACATAAGGATAGATTTAAGTACATAAAAATTCAAAACCTGGGTATGAAAAAGAACTCCATAAATAAAATTAGAAGATACACCACAATCTATCCATAATATATAAGGTTTTCTATAAGTAAATCAGAAAAAAACACCCCTAAAAAAAATAAAGAATAGATGTAAATAGGTAGTTTAAACGGAAACCCAAATGACCAATAAGCATATGAAATGATGCTTGATCTCACTGGCATCAAGTAATTTCAATTGAAGTCAAGAAAGTATTGTTTTATGCCCATGAGCTTGGTAAATAAGGTCTGTCAATACTAAGTGTTGGTGAAGGTCTGAGACACTGGAAACTTCATACACTACTGAGTGAGACACTTTATAAAATGGTGCAACTATTTTGGAGAGCAGTAAAAACCCTGAAAGCCATTTTGTTATTATTTAACCAATGAAATTCTGCTCTGTGCATACTTGAAGGTGGAAAACTCCTTTATGATGTCAGTCCCTTCAAAATGGCCAAGGATTTACGGACTATGAAGGAACAACCAGAACTTTATAGAGAACAGCTCTGAAGAAACAGGCATATTGAACTAAAGGCTGTAGTTTAGAGTCATAATACTAAAAACTTCAGAATTTCACAATCAGAAGAAACTCAAAAATCATCTAGTCTGCCCCATTGATTTAAAACTCAAGGACACTGAGGCTCAGTACCGTGCCCAAAGTCTAAGCCTCTTTTTAGAAGTCTTCTGCTTGTCACTTCTGTTACCTGGTGATAGGAGGTTGACCTCTTGGGTGCGGAGGAGGCCAGAAAGCCAGTGAGGGCAGAGGCTGTCCCTGGAGCTGGGTGCCCCAATTCCTACCCCCATAGTGAGCTCTGGCTCATGAGGAGATTATAGACCGGCAGTCGGCACCGAACACAGAGCAGGCAAGCATTCCTACCTCTTCTCCACTGTACTGCTTCAGGCAATTGAGGAAATGACAAGTATTGGAAAGCCAAAAGGACAGCATCTCAAAGTCTTCTAAATGCTCCTTAAAAAAACACACACAACAAAATAAAACAAGAAAAGACAAAGGTGGAGTTGGTGATTACTGGTGCCTCTGAGCAACATCAGACTTACCTTACCTGTTGGTTAGTTAGTGTCTTTGCCCAAAATGGAGTCCTCTTTTATTCACTAAAGCCTTTATTAAATTTGTGCTATAATGATAGGCCCTTATGTTATTTAGCAGGTTACTTGTTTGAAGCTTAATTCGGGCCCTGCAGGAATGCCAGAGAAATGTCAATCTCAGGCCTTGCCTTCCAAAGTTCCCACTCCACTGGGAGGACGGACATAACATATGGGGCACAGTAATTAGGTGGCCGATTGCCCATGTGGTGGATGTAGACTGTGCTCAGAGGATGGAGGGACCATGGGAAACCAGGGCAGCTGAGAAAACCTGAGAGAAGCGAGGGGATGGTCCTCCTTGAAAGCGGGGGACAGACAAAAGCTCAGGATCCAGGACTTTTGGGATGATGCTACTGCTTCTTTCCATTTAAGGAGAATAGGAATTACAGCAATACCACTGGATTCAGCAAGAGGAATCACCGGTGGTCTTTTTGTGGAGTGACGGGGCAGAAGCCAGATGGCAAGGGATGAAAAAGAGAATTGGTGAAGAGCACTAGTTTAAACACTTTTGGCAGTTGGGGGGACAAGGGGGTGGAGGCAAAGGCACCATGGCTAAGGGTGTGGGGCCAAGTGAGGGTCGCTTCAATGTGCTGTGCACCAGAGCGGAAGGGGCAGATACTGGCACCAGCAAAGGCATAGGACAGGGAGCTGCTAGGGAAGCTGAGACAGAAGATGCTGATGGGAAAGTATTTATACTCCTCGTGTCAGGCATCTTTCACTTTCTAAATATTTAAACATTCCAGAGCAGCAAGACGGGGCAAATACTGTGTGTCTGCATCTTGGGATACAATGCAAGTGTGTCCTAAGAAAACCCGATTTATGAAAATATGGACAGGGGAAATATCCACATATGGGAGGCCCTTCATAGGACGCTCTGGTGGCTACTGTGAAGACAAAGACAATAAAGGACCCAGGACCAAACAAATGCTAATTTTCTCCTCTTAACTCCAGATGAATTCTTGGTACAAAATTTTTGGGAGGGGAGGGAAGAATTACTCTAAACTCTCATGCATCCACTGCTTTTATTCTTCTCTTTCCCTAGGATATTTAAAATAGGATTTAATTACTCATGATTCTACTAGAACATATATTTTACTAAAAGTGAGACAGGACCTTTTGCAACTAAAAATTCAAATATATCCCAACATCAAAGATTGCTCCCCATGTGGAAGGGGGATGAAAATATTGGATCTGTATTTTACTGCTTTCTACTAACATGCAGCTCGTCTTTGTTTCTGAGTTGGGACTAAGGGTGCACAATGTAGTTTTAGAAGGGACAGTTATAGACAAGTAATTTTTCAGGCCTTCCCATTCCTCACCTTTCACACTTCCTACATTACAGCTGGGACTCTAACACCCTGAGGGGATAGAAATAGTGTGTGTGTGTGGCTACGAGGCTGTAATCTCACAGGTAAGGCTTCAAGGTCAATTGGCAGATCCTACCCTTGGGGATCCCTGACCTAACTTGTCTTTTCCTAACAACTTGGCTTCTTTCACCGATTGGGCCTCAGACTGGTTCGAGGAATCATGTGGTTCACCAAAGCCAGGAGGTGAAGGATGGGCATCTGGTCATCCCCACAGATGTTGCTAAAGGACCTATAATTCCAAGGGCAATGTCAAAGGTAGTTCCTACCTTAACCACTTGCTTGATGCCATTAATGATACTGTTCATGAGGGACTTGAGCATGCTGGCGTCATTGAGAGAGTCTGCATAACGTACACACATGAACAGGATGTGAGCCGGCAGCCCGGGGATCATGTTCACCACCACGCCGCGGGGCTTCAGGTCTGGAGCGGAAAGAGTCAGTGAGGATGACCGCTGTGGTTAGCTCTCCCCCTAAGGAACCTCTGACTCTGGGGCGGGGGTTATTTGCTTTTCTGTGCCCGATGCACTCAATGCAATGCCTGAATGCACAGGCATGTCTTTTCTGTTTGGGGAATTTAGTTTGGCTCTTCTTTTGACAAAAAAACTGCTCCTCTTACTTCTCATTTGCAAAGTGCCTTCTCCCTGATGTGGAGACCCTGGATTTCAGATCTCCAGCGTAAGAGAGGAACCGCAGTTCCAAGCACCCCACCCTCGCATCTATGACAAGGATGCAATACGATCTCAGCGCTCACATGCACCTGCTTTGAATCTGGAAAACAGGAGCACAACAGTCCCACAGAGGAGGCCTTGCTGGCTTGGAGAGGAGAGAATGGTAGGGAGACAGGTGGGATTAAGGGGAGAGAGAAGCTTTATAGAACAAATTAAGATAAGCAAACAAAGACCTTCCGGTGGCTGCATAAAAATGGGGGGACAGAGAGGAGGCTCCAAAGCTGTGCCCCAGCGATGGTGGAAAGGAAGGGTAGGGGTGCTCCTTCCTCCCTTAGATGAGG